ATTATATTTTACAATAATTATAATATCGGAAATCAATATTGAATATGCAAACTAAGAGTAAAATAAAAAAACATTTTGACAAAAATAAGTTTTATTTATTACAAGGTATATTTTACAATAAGTATACTATTGAAAACTTAGTAGTTAAGGATTTATACAGCTTGTATATATACATACTTATATTATATACATACACTTATTATTTTATATATTATTACAAAAAAATATAGTTCTTGCTTCGAGACTGCATTCAAGCTATCAATGCTGCTAAGTAATTACGTTTTGCTGGACCCTGAGCATCGTTGTAAATTTCTTCCTCAAGTTCACAATCCAGTCTCTGATTTTGTACAGTATCATTTCTTCTATCAAGTTGATTTCTTTCTTCTTCAATAAAATCGTCTATTCTATCATTATATTCTTCAAGACACAGATTGTGCAGCACACAACAAGCTAATATTACATAAGGAATCAGATCTGCTGCGCTCATGTGCAAATATTTCAATCTTCGAAATCTCCCTTTTAGCAAAGCGAATGCTCTTTCCACTACTTGTCTCATTTTTGACAATTTTGTGTTAAAGTTGACTTGAACCTGCATACAAAAAAACATTAAAATAACAGTTCAATTGATAATAGTATAAGAAATAAAGAGCAAGGCTTACTAACCTCTGTCAAGTTTCCTTTATTTATATAAGGTGGAATACACCAAGATAGTACTGGGTAAGCTTTATCACCAATAATATATTCATTTCCTGGAAAGAATTTTGCACGATTTTCTTGTACAGACATCCACAAATCTGAGTTTCTAAATACCCTACTATCATGCACAGAACCTGCAAATCCCACAAAGCAATCTATAAATACCAAGTCTGCGTTGCAAACAGCTTGCAAAGTAAGAGCGTGTTGGCATTTCCTGGTTCTATATGATTCAGAATTAAGCTGGATAAATAAGAACATAAAAATAAAATAAGTCATATTGCTAAAAAAAGATAATTAAAGCAAAAAAATATAGCCAAAAAATAGGTTTTACATATGGTGCAAGGATAGGTATGTGCGTGCCATCGATAACTCCTATGACATCTGGAAGAACACCAATTTCACTAAATCTTTTCTTTACAGCAGTCAATCTGTCTCCTTCTGGCCACACAATAACACTATCTGCTATGTCATTTAAAGCATAGACAACTCTACGGAAAGAATCGTGTAGAATCGATTTTGCCATATTGAAACGATCTGCAACAGATCTATAACAATAATCTAGTTATTAAGCACATCAGTAACAGAAAAATCATTAATAGAAAAATGTTTATATTCATACAAACTGTTATTTACCGAAAGGAATCTGGAGTTGCCAAAAGCCAAATGACTGATAAGAGTTGATTTCGAACTGGGATCATTGGTCTTCCTTCTTTTTCTATTTTTGTCAATGCCGAAGTTAACCGTTGCTCGAGATTTTCGTAAGTTGTTCTCGTCATACGAAAATGTTGACGGAACACTTCATTACTAAATCTTGGTATAATTTCGTTAACATATAGTTGTTCTCTGACTTTATGGTAGCCTCGATTACCAAATCTTATTTGGGCTTCGACAAGATTTGCTTCTTCAATTATTCTATTTGTTATCTCGTCATCACTACTTTCTGAATGTAATATATTTAAAACTCTTAATTTCTGTTCAGATACGACGCAGGCTACAATAATGTTTTTTCGCCTTGTGTCCGCCATCTTATTTGCCGTTCGGAAACTAGTCGCACCTGGAGTACACCTTGCCCCCACTACCAGTTCACTCAACTCTACCCGCCGAGTGATGTTTCCGAACGCAGCCAGATAGGAACGTTTGTGGGTGTTCACCGGTGGTGTTGATGACAGAAAGAGTTACACGCAACAGATTTTCGTGCCTGTCAAGAATGACGATGTTGCGTCGCGAATTGTTGCTCTCGTGAAGATCGTCTGGTTTCAGCGACTTCGGCGTGCTCGCGCAACGAAGTTCTCATCAACGAAGATTCGAACGGGGGTACCGTTCGTGCAACTCGATCGCAATGCAGGTTGACGACGAGATGTTGATGCGAGCGAATCGGGACACCAATTTGTGTCGCGTCTGTCTGACCGTGGATTACAACAACCAATGCATCTTCCGCAGGAACTTGGACGATCCGAACGGCGCGAGCATCTCCGAACTGTCACAGAAGCTGCAACTGTGTGGCGGAGTGGAGGTTTATTGCATATTGCTTGTTTTGGAGGAGAATCGCAAACTCTGTTAAAACTGTTACAGAAGCTAACAAATGTTTTTTTTTTTATTTGTTCAGCAGATTGAATCTGGTTAAAATAAAAGATTAAGATAAAAAACTCATCTGGATCTGTTTACTTTTTGTTTATATTGAATCTATATTCACGCTTGGTTATATTTAATTACTTACAATCTCTTTTCTCACATTAGGTTTTGGAAGATGATGGTTTACCTGCTGGTATCTGTGTCAAATGTTTGATGAAAGTCAATGTTGCCTATGAATTGAGGGAACAGTGTCAAAAAGCTGATATACAACTGAGAAAGCTTTATGGAAAAGTTTTGAAGAAGAATGTCAGCAACTTTGTTTCTACAAGAGTACTGATTTGTTTTTAATAATAATGATGAATATAATTTATATTTCTGGCATACAATATATATTTCTGTTGCTACTCTTTTCTAACTTGCACATATCTCCGTTTCCTTGCAGGATCAGTATTGTCAAACCGAACAAGTTTTTACTTTGGATGCAATTAAATTAGAAAATAATATCGAGTTAGATGTGGATAGAGGAAATATTACATTGGAAAAGAGTGTCAATACAATGAATTCAGATACGGATGTTTACAATGAGGACAATCATACAGACGATATTGTTGATAATGAATTAGATGTAGACTGTAATAATAGATCTAAACAAGTAGGACAGGGAAAAGTAGCTAAAAAAGAAGCTTACAGAACAAGAAGGTTAACTGTGTTTAAGAGAGTCACGTCTATGGAGAATCTGAGAAATTATAAAGAAATGCAGAGAAGATATATCAAAAAGAGCGCAAATGTCAAATGCGACACCAACGATGGCGAGTGTCAAACAAAATCGAAGATTATTTGCAACAGAGTTGACAAAACGACCGAATTGTCTGATTTGTTGTCTGAATTCGAATCGCAATACAAATGTTCAATATGTGATAAATGTTATTCCAGTAAAAAATCCTTAGATAGACATGTGTCAACTCATAACAAAGAGTTCAAATGCGATAACTGTGATAAGCAATTTCTCTGTCTGGACAAACTACTTAAGCACAAAGAGAACGTGCACAAGGCGAAGGAAAAGCCACAACCGGCGGTGTGCAATATCTGCAACAAAAGTTTCCGAAAGACCGACACCATGGTCAGACATTTGAATGTTCACAAGCGAGCGAATCCTAAGGAAGTTTTTTCCATATTGAAAGAAATGCGAGACAGAAGAAAATTAGAGAACAGTCGCAAGTGTTCCGAGATGCTTCACGTCGAAGCGGATGAAGATGAAGAAATAATTCTCGAGGAGAAATCCCAAAGCGAGAACGACGGCACGACGAGAGAATTGAGAAAACGCGTGATAAAGGCGGAGCAAAGGGATTCGGATTTAGGAAACAGCGACACCAGCAGCGACAAATTCGACTTTTTCGACGACACGGCGCTTTTTCAGTGCAAGCACTGCAACAAGAGTTACTCCACCGAGAGATCCCTTCAACGTCACATGTTGGTGCACGACGAGAAGAAATTCGTCTGTAATTTTTGCAATATGAAATTTTACCGGCAAGATCGGCTGAAAAGTCACATGGACAGATACGGTCACTACGAGACCAAAGCGTCTTCGGAACCGCAGAAACCGCCCGACGACAAATCGGCCATCAAACTGATCAACAGCTGGATAAGAGAAGAACTGGATTCCGATAACGAGGGCAAGGGCTTTCCTTGCAAGACCTGCGGAAAGTCGTACGACACGAAGAAATCTCTGCTGAAGCATCAAGTAAACGCGCACAGTGAACAGAACGAGTACTGCGCGAACTGCGACGGCGTGTGTAGCTGCGCGAACGGAAAAATCAAGGAATCGGAGAAGAGCGCGGAGAAATCGAAGCCGTACACGTGCGAGGAGTGCAACAAGTCCTTCGAGAAGGAGGTGAAGCTGCAGAGGCATCTGCGGATTCACGAGCGCGCCAAGGAGCAACAGGACGCGAACTTCAAGCGCTTCCTCTGTCACATATGTAGCAAGACGTTTCGCCAGAACACCGGTCTGATGTTTCACATGCGCACTCACACGGGTTACAAACCGCACGTGTGCAAGTACTGCGGCCGCGGTTTCACGTCCAACTCGAACTGTATCAATCACGAGAGGACGCACACCGGCGATCGGCCGTTTGTCTGTCAGTACTGCAGCGCGGCGTTCGCCAAATCGTGCACCCTCAAGGCCCACATCACCACGCACACCGGCGAGGCGAATTATCACTGCAAGACCTGCGGCAAGTCATTTCGCCGGCTCAAGTATCTCAAGGAGCACCGATTCACGCACACGGGCGAGAAGCCGTACGCGTGCAAGATCTGCGGCACCGCGTACAGTCACTCCGGCAGTCTTTTCGTGCACGAGAAAAAGTGCAAGGCGCAGTACAGCAATTATCAGCCGGTGGCAGCGGCGGCGGCGGCGGCGGCGGCGGCGG